TTGCGGGTCCCCGGTCCGGGGCAGGGGCAACACTGAGGGTTGCGATCCGTTGCCGGACACGGAAAAAGACAAAAGACAAAAAAAAAAAAAAAAGTATTGGGATTGAACCAGATATAGAGATCACAAACTGAAGACACACAAGGCAAATTCAGACTATAATTTTTTTTTTTGTCCTGCATGGTATTTTTTTATTTGGCTTTAGGTGGAACATGACTGTCCAGTTGGCCTCAGTCCCCACTACTATTGTTGTCCCTTGCCTGGCCTAGTTCACATATTAACATTGCTGACCTGGCTTCTGCAGGCATTTTTTAAGTATGTGATCCTTGAACTAGAGGCTCTATAGAAAAATGAAAGGTTCACAGATTCCCCTTAATACCTTGATTCTCAACTTTGAGGACCTTTTGCAAACTTACCTCTCCATACGGGCACACTTTTGAGACTCATTGCCTGAGCTGCTCTAAGTGGTCATTGTGTGGCTTGTCTTATACTGGAATGAGGGAAAAAGGTCTGAGCACCACTATTCTAAAAAGAGAAGGCATTTGGGAATGAGATAAAGTAGTTCAAAGCTCTCTAGAAAGTAATTTTCATTTCTGTTTTGCCTGTGGCTTGTTGAGACTATATTATAAAGTCTTTCCTATTGATTAAGTATCAAATCAGATATTTCTCTTTGATTAAATATAACACTTTATATGCCTATCCTAAGTTGGGTATTTTGATACTGGCAAGGGTGAGTCAGTGTTGGCATTTAGATTAGTTAGGCTATAACTGATTTGAGCTGGTTTCTCCACGAGCCACTGAATTCTTTGTGCATAGGCATGAGTCCCTGGTGTGCTCAGTGACTTGTCTTAGTTGGGCCTTCACAAGAAAGCAAGATAGAAGAAACAAAAACCTCTCTTTTTTTTAACCAGAATTGGTTTATGAAATAGAACAGCTAAAGATTGGTTGATATGCTGAAGAGAATGATTGGCAAGTATCAGGTCATGTGGTAATAAAAAGTAGAAATGATAATGTTCTCTTTTACCTTTGTGGAGCTGGGTACTCTTCTAACTGCTGTTATATAGTTGAATTTCTGCCTTCAACAGCCTTGCGGAGCTTGGCTTTACCACTTTTCTTTCTTATTTTTTATTTTTTCCTTCAACTCTTTTATTTCTGAATAAATCAAGGCCAGAGGTCAGAGCAATTTGGGGGTCATACCATGAGTGAGTCATTGGTGAGTGATGCTGGACCTAGTCACACTAGTCCAGTGATGTTTTTCAGTTGGTTCCAATAAGTCTTCTTTAGGCAGGGCAAAGGCAGTGAAGATTTTGCTTCAAGAGTCATTTTAAAAATAAAGTGGTTCTTCTTTTAGGTTGGCACCCAACCCTTTAATCGAGCCATGCTTTTCAACGTTGGTTTTCAAGAAGCAATGAAGGACTTAGATTGGGACTGTCTGATTTTTCATGATGTGGATCATATACCAGAAAGTGATCGCAACTATTATGGATGTAGACAGATGCCGAGGCACTTTGCAACGAAATTGGATAAGTATATGTATCTGTGAGTATCACTTCCTCTTAAAGAGGCTGAATCTAAAAGGATGGCAAGAGATGCAAAGATAATGAAATCCAATTAGCTACAACCCAGAAGTACATCAACTCATGAATGGATAAACAAAATGTGGTATATCCATACAATGGGGTACTATGGAATACTGATATATGTCACAATGTGGATGAACCTTGAAACATTATGCTAAGCAAAAGAAGCCAATCACAAAAAACCACACATTGTATGATTCCATTTATACGAAATGTCCAGAATAGGTAAATCTATGGAGACAGAATGTTAGATTAGTGGTTGCCTAGTGCTGGGGAGTGTGAGGGGAGAATTGTTTTTGAGTTGGTGACTGCTGATGCATACAAGGCTTTTTTGGGGGGTGATAAAATGTGCTAACATTGATTGTAGTCATGGTTGCACAACTCCATGAATATACTAAAAACCATTGAATTATACACTTTATTTTTTTTTTTGGCAGCTGGCCAGTACTGGGAATTGAACCCTTGACCTTGGTGTTACAAGGCTGCGTTCTAACTAACTGAGCTAACCAGCCAGCCCTGAATTATACACTTTAAGTTGGTGAATTGTATGGCATGTCAATTATATCTCAGTAAAACTTATTAAAAATCAATTAGGAAAAATTCAGTTAGCTGCTTTGGTTGATACATGTCAGCATGATGAAACAATTCAGATGGTTGAGGGCAGTGGCACAGAGAATTGTTTTTAGTTCTCAAGTAAGATGGTCTGTTCTAGGAAAAAAATCACCTTTTAACACACAGGTGATTGACATTCTGTATCTCCTTTTAGGCTTCCTTATACTGAGTTCTTTGGTGGAGTGAGCGGCTTAACGGTGGAACAGTTTCGGAAAATCAATGGCTTTCCTAATGCTTTTTGGGGTTGGGGTGGAGAAGATGATGACCTCTGGAACAGGTACTGTCCTTCATCTAGTGTCTTCTAGAAAAGCTGCCTTTGGCCCTCTGGACCAGTGCTGTCCAATAGAAATATAACACAAGCTATGTGTGTAATTTAAAATATTCTAGTAGCTACATTTTAAAAGGTTAAAAAAAGGGCTGGCCCGTGGCTCACTTGGGAGAGTGTGGTGCTGATAACACTAAGGCCATGGGTTCAGATCCCTATACAGGGATGACCAGTTAGCTCACTTGGAAGAGTGTGATGCTGACAACTCCAAGGGTTAAGATCCCCTTACTGGTCATCTTTAAAAAAATTTTTTTTAAAATAATAAATAAATAAATACATGGATGGATGGATGGATGGATTAAAAAAACTGGTGAAATTTATTTTTTATTTGATCCCTATACAGGGATGACCAGTTAGCTCACTTGGAAGAGTGTGATGCTGACAACTCCAAGTCAAGGGTTAAGATCCCCTTACTGGTCATCTTTAAAAAAATTTTTTTTTAAATAATAAATAAATAAATACATGGATGGATGGATGGATTAAAAAAACTGGTGAAATTTATTTTTTATTTATTTATTTTTTAAAGATGACCGGTAAGGGGATCCTAACCCTTGGCTTGGTGTTGTCAGCACCACGCTCAGCCAGTGAGCTAACCGGCTATCCCTATATAGGATCTGAACCCGTGGCCTTGGTGTTATCAGCACCACATTCTCCCAAGTGAGCCATGGGCCGGCCCTAGTGGTGAAATTAATTTCATTAATATGTTTAATACAGTATATGCAAAATAATACCATTTTAACATGTAATCAACATAAAATATTAATGAGTTATTTCACATTCATTTTTTCTTAGTCTTCAAAATCTGGAATGTTTTACACTGAGCATATTTCACTTCTGAGTAGTCACATTTCAGCTGTTAGTAGCCCCGTGTGGTTTGTGGCCACCATGTTGGACACAGCAGCTTCCTACAGTTCTTTCTCTGATTGGATTTTAGGAGCAGCTGTTAGTTATCTTTTATGACAGAGACTAGAGTATTTGGAATCATAGAAATGATTTTTATTCATTTAGAAAATTATGCAGTTATAACATTAAAAACAGAAATCTTTTACCATCCTAAAAAAACAAATTCTACATCCCACCAAGGCAGCTATTTTTATTTTTTTTTCCCTTGACATGCAAAAATAAACAAATGATAATTTCACAGTTTTTCTTATAATAAAGAATATGGTCATTGTAAAATTCAGGAGATACAAAAGTGCATAAACCAAAGGATACAAGTCTTAATCCCCATTGCCATCCTGTCTCATTCCATGAAGTAGCCATTTTAACAAGCTGTTTCTTTCTACACTTTTTTCTATTTACATGTAGACAATTAAGACACGTTCCTTCTACCCTTCCACCCATGTCTTGGTACAGAGAGAGCTACTTCATTATTTTTTAATAACAATTACATGATAGTCCATTATGTAAATATACAGTAAATTATTTTACTCTTCTGTTGATGAACATCAGCTGTTTATAATTTTGAACAATCTCTGTTCACATGTACAAGTGTTTCTTTAAATTAAATTCCTAGTTGTGGAACTACAGAGTCAAGAAGTACATGCACTTTTAAATTTGAGTAGTTTTTGCTAAATTTTCCTCCGAAAAAGATTTCGAACAACAGTCTATTAGTGTGCCCATTTTCTTACACTACCATCAACATTGAATATAAACAACCTTTTACATTTTTGCCAATTTCATGGGTAAAAATAGCATCTCATTTTCATTTGTACTTCTTAGAAATTTAGTGAGGTTGAACATTTTTTCCATACACTTAATGGGTTTGACTGGTCCTTAGATCCAGTTGCGCTCTTCCAAGCCAGCTGTCATAGATGTCATCATGTTCAATGCGGAGCCCCTTGGATGCTGGGACTGTGGCTGGTTTTCTCCAGCACCCTGCACAATTCCAAGCACACAGTAGCCTGGAGTGAGAACACATCTTCATGTGTCAAAGTAAGAGTATGGTTGGGAGTGTAGAGGAGGATCTTGAAACAATAATCTTCTACAGTTTTAAACTAGGAAAACGTCCATAAATTTCACATAGATATCCAGTCTACCTGCATCTGTTAGTTGTCTCTTAGAGCCATATCAAGTTTCGCATAAACCCAGCTTGGGAAATCTTCCCTTTATAATATTAAGGATGAATATCCTGAAAACTTCCTCTAAATTCTGCTTGGTGCATAGTGACTTTTCAGAAACTGTGAAGTTGGATATGTAGATCGGAAGCATGTCATATAAATTAGTTCATCCCTGTGGTGATGGGGGAGGTGGGAGAGATGTAAATTCTACTTTGTAAGGAAAACACATTTTGATTTTGGCTTTCCTGAATTGCTTTATAGTAGGATGTGGAAAGGAAAGGTGCTGTAAACCAGTGAGAAAAATGGTTTTGACAGGAAGGACCCCAGCAAGCCAGCCAAGAGGAAGGAGTACGTGTGCACTTTGGGGACACTTACTGTTTTCCCTGTCACAGAGACCCCGAGTTAAACCCCACTGCCAAGAATTTTGTTTCTTTTCAATTTTTTTCCTTTTTCAAAACTTTAAGTATTGTAGATTTTTTTTTTAATTGCAAATTTATCCAGAGGATAAGCAGTTTGAATATTGGGATGCAGAAGTTGTTCTGTTGTTCAATTTGGGGTTTTTCACCATTGGCACAATTACTGTTTTGGGCTGGAACATTCTCTGTTATGGGGGGCTTTCTTGTGCAGCATAAGTTGTTTAGCAGTGTTATTGGCCTCCGTGCACTAGATGCCGGTAGCCACCCCCCACTGTAACAAGCAGAAATGTCTCCAGATGTTATCTAACCCTAACCCCTAATTAAGAACTGCTGGTTTAAATTAATCAGTTGGTTAAGTAAAGGAGTCATAAGTATTTTATTTCCACTTCAGGTTTATACACGTATGTTTATTTGCCAGCTTTTTCATCTAGGGCTGTGGCCCTTCCTTTGATCACAGCTCCACTGATTGGACTTTTCTCTTCTGTTGAAATCAAACTCACAATGTTCCAAACACACTTTCTAGTTTGGGGCTCTTTAAAGTACAGTGAGAACAGCTTTAAAAGAATCTGAATGTCATAAGCTGACATTTGGCTCTAGTAAATAAAAAAGGAGTGTCAAATGCTTCTAAATATTTATGATTTTCCCTTCAGTCTTTTATAGTTGTCTCACCCATACCTAATTTATTTACTAGAATTTTTTAAATAATCAACTTGCCTTTATCAAGTCTTTCCATAGCAGTCAGCTTATTTTTCATGGAAACAAGTCTTTTTGCTATGTTTTATAAATTTATGTATAACTTAATTAAACTGTTAATAAAAAGTTTAGGATGATGTACAGCTGACTTTTGGTGAGCATCCAGCTGTCCTGGTGGGAACTGAGTTGTATAGGCCTATGAGAGAGTGGCCTGTTAACACCAGACACTCACAGTGAGATCAGTCAGTGTGCTTTATAGGGGATTGCCTTTTGGTGAGCATCCAGCTGTCCTGGTGGGAACTGAGTTGTATAGGCCTATGAGAGAGTGGTCTGTTAACACCAGACACTCACAGTGAGATCAGTCAGTGTGCTTTATAGGGGATTGCAGAGCCTCAGTTAAAAACTTTGAGTTACAATAGAGTTTTAATTCAGTTTTTAAACAGTGGCACAGTGGGTCAGTTAATTGGAGGTGAATGAGAAAGTTTTCCTGTGCTTTATTGCCAGGGTAAGCTTATGTGTCTTTTAGGCTTTGGTCACTGCTGGGATGTGACCATTGTATCTGAAAGCCCATTCTCTTGGTCTTGGACAGAGTACACAATGCAGGCTATTCTGTGAGCCGGCCAGAAGGTGACACAGGAAAGTACAAGTCCATTCCTCATCACCATCGAGGAGAGGTCCAATTTCTTGGAAGGTTGGTGCAGTTTGTTTATTCCTCTTACAAATATTCTCTGTACTTTGCATTTCCAGATGTCTTAGAGCATATTACAACCCCTTGTCTTACTCCCCACCCCCACCTCAAGGACCTGTGCTGACAGCTGTTTTACATTTGCAGCATATTTTCTAATTTAACTGTGAGGTGGACATATTGGGGTGAAATCTGACCGTTGGTGAAAATTTTGATATAGTAAGATCTTACAAGGAAATCACTTTTTCTTCTTCTTAAGCATGTGGCCTTTAGGGAGGCAGAGAAAATTCTACTTGGGTAAAGGTCTGTGTCTTACGCTAACAAAGCAGAGTTGACCCCCTTTCTGTGAGCTCCAGTTCCGAACTATTCTTGTGCTTCTGTGTGGTTGCAGCTGCTGTGTTACCTCCTTTTCTTTCAATGAGTAAATCCCAGATTGTACTGGCCTGGGGCATGTGTACAGAATGACGTCTCTGCACGTTCAAGCATGAGGTGTTTGTTGTTGTTGTTTGTCTTTTGTGAATTTTGGGGAGGACTATTCTCTAGCAATTAGGTTCTAATTGCTTAAACTCTACTTTCATGGGAGTTAAAGGGCACTAAGTACAAACTATGAATTTTCTCGTCTGATTTGTTTTTTAATATCTTACCTCTCACATCCCCACTCTCTGACCTTGGACAAGTCACTTAATATTGCTAAGCCTTAGTTTCATTGGCTTGGGTGTAGGGAGACATTAAATAAAATAAGGTAATAAGTAATGCACCTGCCATGAAATAGGAGGTGTTTCTAATGATGAAGTTTATATTGCAGTAGCAGAAGGGCTGGTGCATGGTCCCATGCTTCAGAAGTCCTGCCTCGGCTGTGTCCTTTCCTGTGGGCTGCCCTGGGAGGAGGCTTGGGTCCTCACTCAGAGCTGCCTCTCTGTTCTCTGCTTAAACAGGTACGCTCTGCTGAGGAAGTCAAAAGAACGACAAGGGCTGGATGGGCTCAACAACCTGAACTACTCTGCAAACATCACATATAACGCCTTGTATAAAAACATAACTGTCAACTTGACACCCGAGCTGGCTCAGGTGAATGAGTACTGAGATGAGGAGACAATATGCGTTTGCTTAACCCACCCCCACCAAGAAAGTGGTCTGAGGAGATGTTTTTGGGGACTCCAGAGGAAGAGAATAGAAAAACAGTGTCTTGTGAAGGATCACAGGGTTAAAGGAAAGAACGAGACAGAGCACACGCACAAATCGCTTTCTCCATGCTCACCTGCTGGGGTTGAGGCAGGAGGAAGTTTGAGGACTTCTTTATCAGCACTGGCTTTCTATTTTCACCAGACAGATGTCTGTCCTGCTGCTCTCTCCCTGTCTCCTACCCCAGCATCCTGTCTTAGCCACAACCTCCAGAACCCGTGATGAACTGTAATCTGCCATGGTCCTGTGTGGAGCCTGTCCTTACGCCTGACCTTTGGAGCCTCTGGGCCTTCGGAGCAAAGAGGCAAACCCACCACAGGGCAGCTGCGTCTTAGGAAGAGGAAATGAAACGCCACACATCAGTCTTCTACATCTGTGGTGTTCTCTTTTTGGTTTCATTGTTTGAAAAAATTACCTGCTTTGGGTGGGGATTGAGGGTGGAGGGGAGGGATCTGGGGAAGATAAATAGACAAATATATAGCAATCACTTCTTGAAGAAGTATAATTGTAAATAAGCCATGTAAAATGCCTTTTTAAAATTTAATTTTATAGCTGGCTCCAATTCAAACTGAGGATTTATACATCAGATCACTTATTTGGTTGGTAAAGGCAGGAATTCAGTGAATTCAGTGAAAATGCAATTGAAGAATATATCCCAGATTGCTGTCACTTTGGAAGGGAGTGGATATAGGGCACGTCACAAAAGAACAAAATAATGCAGTCTTTATCACAGCTGATTCCTTCTGTGTTCGTCCCTCAAGTCTTGATGTTTGCCCTCCTTTCTCTCTTCCCTGGTGGTCACGTGCCCCTTCCTCCTGCTGTTGTGGAGCGAGCTCTCCCTGCTCAAAGCAAACCCTGCAGGGCTTGCTGTGCACACACCCTGGCTCTCTGGACTTTATTTTTTGTCCTTTCATCATCATAAAGAGAGAGGGGTTGTGTGGCGTTTTCTCCTGTCCTCTTTCTCTTGTGGAACTTGGCCACAATTTCTGAAAGCTGTGCCTAAATTACCAGTTGACTTCAGTGATTCCTCTATTTCTCTTTTTGTTTTCTGGAAAGATTCTTTGTCAGCATTATTAACTAGTACATAGAACTAATGAGCAATTAAATTAGGAAGAATTCAGCCAGGGAGCAGGTGACACTTGTGTGTTGTGGGTCAGCCAGAATCCAGATAAGACCAAATCAAAGCTTTGAAATTAGACCAGCAAAGCTCTAGAATGTAAGAGCTCAAGTGCTCTGCTCACAACCTCACGTGCTTTTTGAAGTTGGGTTCAAAACTGCATTTGAATTTGTGCCTCTTGGTTTTTCCCTGAGCCAAAGCCCTCAAGTCATAGTCCCTGTCAGCTTCTACAGAATTCTGGAGAATGCCAGTTTTCTCCCCCTCCTTTTTCATAAGACATATTTATATATTGTGATTAGGAGTACTTTTGGAAAAGTACTTCATATTTTTTTTAACTGCCTTGTTTGCCTTCAACTTGCTTAATTTTCATGGTTTACATGGGTGTGTGTGTAGGGGCGTATGTGTATATATGTGTGGGTTGGGTTTTTTCCATTGCATGTGCTGGTTCTGTGGACATATGATCCCCACAAACTGTGGGAGTGATTGGCCAGGCCTTGTTTTTTGTGTTTTTGTTCTTTTGAAGAATAGAGTGATATTTAGAAAATAAATTGTATTGCAAAGCTCTTATCGGCTCATATGAGAGAGCAGGCTCCTGCCCTTGAGAATGCTGGTAAGCTGTATCATGTTTTAAAAGAATTTTAAGCATTTTGTGCTTTCAAATACTTTCATGAGGGAACATTACATATAGAAGTTCATTTGGTTTTCCTTGTTTTATGGTGCATATAGCAATAAAGATTTTTTCCTGCTTTTCTCACCTTGTCCGCCACTCCCCCGGCCTCTGTGCCAACCTCCTTCTCCTCTCTTTTGTCACGGAAGGCTGTGAGTTGCTTTCAGTGTGACAAAACCATGATGTCATTTGGAAGGATTTGCCGGGACATACTCATTATTGGTTAAGGATGATGAGTGTATATGCGGCGGTAGTGTAAGATGATATGAAAGCTCTATATGACCATAATTACCACCAAGCACAGACTGTTGGCAAAAGGCTAACACCTGGGCCGGCCCGGTGGCACACTCGGTAGAGTGCGGCGCTTGGGAGTGCGGTGGCGCTCCCGCTGCGGGTTCGGATCCCATATAGAGACCGGTCTGCTCACTGGTTGAGCGCGGTGCGGGCGCGACACCGAGGGTTGCAATCCCGTTGCCGGTTGCGGTACGGGCATGACACCGAGGGTTGCGATCCCGTTACCGGTCACGAAAAAAAGACAAAAAGGAAAAAAAAAAGGCTAACACCTGATTTTAAAAAGAGAATGCTAATTTGAGGACAAAAGGAAAGGTCTGTTTTCACTGCTTAAAATAGGGCCACTTAGATTCTTTTCCAATCATATCTATCTCATTAGTGTGGAATCTTAATGTGCACTCTTACGTCACTTATCCACCGAGTAGAATATCATATGGGAAATGTAATAGTTAAAAACAGACAGCCAGGCCCATGCGCTGTTAATAGTGTGTAATTCTCATGTTTAAGAAAAAAAAAATAAGAACCAAATGTGACCTTGTGCATATTTTGGCAGCTGAAATTCTTCAGGGCCACTGATAAGTGAGTCCTTAAGTCAATCTTGTCTTTGATTGCTGTGTGCAGGGAAAGGTTCCCCCTTTCACGCTGTTTTTTTGTGGGGGTCATTTGCAAAAATATTCATTTTGACATAACAGGGACTCTTGTCAGAGTTTCTCTGTCACTGACACTAATAAATAGCTGAGCAACAGCCACATGTATTGATTGTATCCACTCACTGGTGACAATGGCATTGAGCATAGCTTGCCTACTCCCATCACTGCGTTTTTTTGAGCTTGCTCTTATGTTTTAAGAGGTGCCAGGGGTACATTTTTGCACTGAAATCTAAAGATGTTTTAAACACTTTTCACAAAAATAGTCCTTTGTCATTGCATTATTTACTCATGTGTTTGTACATTTTTGTATGTTAATTTATGAATGATTTTTTCAGTAAAAAATACATACGCAAGAACCAAACCTCGGTGATCGTCTCTCTTTGTCTATGACAGTTTGGCTCCTTGGGGCCCTTTCCTTTCCCTTCTGAGAGTTCAGCTAAGCAGTTCAGCTGACCCCCTGCATGTCCCCAAGATAAATACTGCCTGAGCGACTATTGCGGACAGGCCAGCTGCCACGTTGTAGTAGAAACATTGGGCTCCACTGTGCCATCCAGGCACCCCCTACACTTGGGTTTTCTTTCGAGGGTCACTCACCCAGGTAATGCCAATAAAATTGAATGAGAGGATGAGAGGATCACTTGCATGAGAGGAGTTGGGGAAGAGGGGTAGTGAGGGTCAGTGGATTTGGTCCCAGAAGGTTCTCTGGGGCCAGTCCAGAGTTTGCTGTTGACCTGATTCTGCTCAGAGATTATAATCAAAGCTTCTGCTTATTGAATTTTTACCACTCACGATATTTAATAGAGTGTAAAGTTCTATGCCTAGGTGCTGGGGGACATAATGTATGCAAATTAGACAGGATGAGTGGCCTCATAAAGCTCATGTCCTGTGTATGGCATGGTTAAATTAAAATTACAACCATAGGGCCGGCCCGTGGCTCACTCGGGAGAGTGCGGTGCTGATAACACCAAGGCCCCGGGTTCGGATCCTATATAGGGATGGCCGGTTCGCTCACTGGCTGAGCGTGGTGCTGACAACACCAAGTCAAGGGTTAAGATCCCCTTACCGGTCATCTTTAAAAAAAAAAAAAAAAAATTACAACCATAATAAGTGCTCTAAAGGAGAAAGCTGCAGGCAGCGAGTGTGTGGTGTGGGGGAAGGAGCAGGGACACAGCTGCAGGGACAAAAAGGCCAAAGGGCACACAGGTGTTGCTGGGCTGGGGAGACCGGGCCAGACCGTGCAGTGCAGGGCCTTGTAGGCCAAAGTGAGGAGTTTGGATTTTATCCTTAGAGCAATGGGTTCAAGAGTTTTCAGCAGGTGGGGCTGTGTGTGATGTGATTAGATAGCATTTGAGAGCTGGCTGCTGCTGCAGGCAGAGCAAGGCATTATAGAGAAGCAAAGAAGTAGGGGACGAGTTAGGGGAGTGCAGATAAGACAGAGGAGCTGGGAAGATGCTGAGGTAGGACCCCAGACCTGCTAGAGATCACTGTGGGGATGGAGGAATCCTGAACTGCTGGCTTCCCCACATGCTTTGATATCAGGGCCATTCCTGAGATCGGGCACTGGAATCACCAAGTTCATAGGGACAATCATGAGATCAATTACAACTGCGTTGAGTTCGGGGAGTTTTGAGACACCAAGAAGCAGCGAATGGGCATTTGTACATGTTCTGGTTTAGGGACTCGAAGGAGGAGTCTAGACCACAGAAGGATTTGTGAGTCTCCGGGGGCAGGAGGTAAGTGGAGTTCCAGGAGTGGACAGCATTGCTCAGGGATTAAGAACAGGAAGCAGAGTGTAAAAGAGAAGGTGGCCTTGGCCCGACCCTCTCACAACTCCCTTTCTTAGTGATTGAGAAGGGGGGGTGAGTGAGCAGGGTAGGTGGGTAGAGTGACAGGAGGAAATGGGGTCAGGAAGGTCAAGGGGAAATTTAAGAGGGAGAGTGGTCAAGAGTGTTGAATGCAGCAAAGAAATGACCCAGGAGAAGAATGAAAAATGAGTTGGCAGGGGCGAGGGTGTTGGTGATGTGGCAAGAGCTGTTTCGCTGACCTGGTGGGGCAGAAGCCACCCTGGAGTGGGCATGACAGAGGGGGCAAGCAGCCGTGAGTGCAGACTGCCTCATGTTTCATGTGAAGGGTGGAGAGAAGGCTGCAGCTGGAGGAAGATTTGAGGCCCAGCGGGGGCTGGGTTTTGGTTTTCCAACAAGAGAGGCTTGAGTGTGTTTTTGAACCATAGGGGAGTATCCACTAGAAAAAAATAGCTGAATGGATACAAGAGACAAGGAAGGAGCCTGCAGGGTTCTGAACTAGTGGCAGGAAATGAGGTTTAAAAAAATCCAACAGGAGGAATTGGGAGCTCTTCCTATGCTATCTCATAGACAGACATGAACACCCTGTGAAGACCAGCATTGCTGTTAGGAAGGGCAAGGATCCCTTCCAGTCAGTCACCAGAATCGGGATTTGGCAGAATTGGTTCTTTGTACTACCACTTCCTCCTCACTGTCAAAATGTTTTTAATTTGGGGGAAGTCCAGTAATATAAATAGTAGTTCCCACTTATAGAGTGCTTATTATGCACCAGGTCTGTGCAAAGCACATTTGTGCACAATTAGTCCCGAACTGCAAGGTAGACATTCCCCCTCTCCTAGAGCAGGGTTTCTCAACCTTGCTATTGATGTTTTAGGCTGGATTATTCTTTGTAAGGGGGTGGGAGAGCTGTCCTGTGTGTTGTAGGGTGTTTAGCAGCACCCTTGGTCTCTACCCTGCAGGTGCCAAACATAGATGTCACTAGACATTATCAAATGACCCCAGGGAGAGCAACGGAACAGCTGGCCTAGAGGAAGGGAAGCCATAGAGCTTGCCTGCGGTCACAAAGCTAGCAGCTGAGCCAGCCCAGATATTTTTACCCCAGGGAAGATGCTCTTAACCCCGAGGCTATTTCTGACCCAATTTCTTTTCTGCACAGGTGCTTTTAATAGCTTTTGTTCACAGACACAGTTAAACAGTATTTTTATTATAAAAGTAAAACATGAGTACATGCTTGCTGGAAAAAGTTTTATTTACTTTTAAAATTTTTTTAAATTTTTTTATCTTTTAAAAGATGACCGGTAAGGGGATCTTAACCCTTGACTTGGTGATGTCAGCACCACGCTCTCCCAAGTGAGCTAACCGGCCATCCCTATATAGGATCCAAACCCGTGGCCCTGGTGTTATCAGCACCGCACTCTCCCGAGTGAGCCACCAGCCAGCCCTGGAAAAAAAATTTTAAATCTCTCTCACCTTTAATGTTAGCAGTTTGGCTGATGTCTTGTCTATACCCAAATACCTACATGTATGTATAAGTAGATAAAGACATTTATAATTAAAACCCAACAGCATCCTGCAATTACTTTTGGTTCATTATCTTGATAGTCCTGGAGACCTCTTTTCCATGATTGTAGAACTTTGTAAGGTAAATACTGGACATAGACTTATAACCCCCCTTCCCAGTGGGGAGGGAGAACTAACCAGAGTTCTCCCTCCCCACTGGGAAACTACCCCTGGACAGGGTAGTTTACCTAAGGAAAGGCACGTCTCCTTTAAGACAAATGGAAGACAGTAGGAAGCAGGAGCCCTGAGTAAATGAATTGGCATGTAAATGGAGTGAGAACACTGATGTTAACTACTCTAGAGCCAGGGGGGTAACAAGTAAGTTAACTTATCTACTCAGCCAGATCTCCTGTGAGCTCTGAGTAGGGTGAGGGTCTAAGCAGAAGCGTGCAAATGATTTACACCTCTCCTATGATCGTTCACTATGTAACTGTTGTATGTACCCCATGGCGATGCAGATTTCTATCTGACTGGCTACAATCAGCACCTCCCGTAAGTCTAATAAACCGATGTCTCTACCTATTGCAGTATTGGGTGAGTTTCTTTGGAACAGGTGAACACTATATGAGGACCCTTTCAGAGTTGGGGCTCCCGTGATACAAGCTTCCTCAAATAAAGCTCAAATGTTACCTCCTCAGAGAGGCCTTACCTGATCTCCCAGTCTTACGTGACATCCCTCCTCTAGCCCTTGCTCTGCTTTATCACAAGATTTTTCACCCTGAGTCATATTATACTTTTATTGCTCTTTGTTCATTGACTGCCAACCCCGCTAAAATGTAGGGAG